CCTTCTAAATGGGATAATGAGGGAATAACACACACCTGGCCATGGAACAGCTGAACAGCCAATTGTCCCATTACTTTTGATCCCTTGAAACTGTACAAACGGTTGTAATTCCTACACCGTTCACCTGATTTGGATATAAATACCCTCAAATTAAAGCTGAAAGTCTGCAGTTAAAGCACATCTTGTTCATTTAATTTTGAATCCATTGTGGTGGTGTATAGAGCCAAAACAATTAGAATTGTGTTGATGTCCCAATATTTATGGACCTGACTGTAGATAAAATATAAATAATAAAGGAAATGAATAATACAATAATAGTGATAAATTATGTGATAATGATATGGATAATTCCTAATTTATGCACTCAGATATATCCTTTCACCCCTTTTTATTCCTTGCCCTTCATTTTCCATGATTGATATGGTGATTTTTGCCTCTAAATTGAGGCTTACAAATGTGCAGCAGGTCTGGAGAAGGTGCTGGGTCTGCTGCTGCTGGATGCAAGTTCGGTGGTGCACAGCCTGATTGTGACGTCGCTGACACCATAACCTGTAAACTACTCTACATTTTAAAGATTTTAAGTGTATATACTACACAATGGATGTTTCTCTGTTTATATTATTGTTTTGGAGGAAACGTTAATAAGAAGGAGTGGTGAGATGCTGCCCTACGAGCGTAAAAGTTAATCTTACAGAGCCAATATTTATAGGCTCCACTATATGTGAGTGACCTGGTTTTATATTTAAACATTTGTTGAATATGTTAGTACCAGCTGCACTATATTTTGTCCTTTTTCTTTATCTTTTAATTACTTAATGTACACCTATTGCATATCAAGAATACATGGGGTAAGTTAAACCCTTTCATATAATAAATTTATAATAGTGCCACTAAGGTGTAAGTTTGACTTATATCATAAGAATGTTTGTATTGATTGTGGAGAGTGGGGGAGAGGTTATCCCACACAAAGTGCAGGCAACATTGTTGGGTTCATGGTCAACAAAAAAGCTTTTAATAGGTTTTATACATGTGCATGACGAAAAAAGTAGTTTGAAAGAAAATATTAATATATTTCAGCATGGCAGAATTTCATTCATGTGGTAGTTCAGCTCAGGAAAACAAATCAGATGAGCCAATAGAGTGGGAAAATAAGTCAAGCACTGTACTACAAAATATATGCATAGTAAAAATATTTTGCATATATTTTGCAGTAGACTGATAGATGCATTTTCCCATTATTAGTTCACGGATCAAGTGAGAATAAGTAACCAATAGGGGGAAAAAAAGAGAAGCAGTTAGAAATCTATATTTCTATAATTGTATTTTCTGCATTTATTTAATATATAATAAATAGATAAATAAATCAACATTTAGTGACTTTCCAACAGCCATCAATCATCTTTTCCCCATCAATCATCTTTTTTTTGGCACCACAAGTCATGAATCAAACTAACATGCTTGTAATTGTTATTCAATTATTTCGTTGTATGGCAGCTTGGAGTTTGGGAACCCTGATTATCACCTAATCTGTCAAAACTTGGATGATTACAATTTTGGACAAACCATATCTACAAGTCTAGTTGTTTTGTCCTGCCTGGCTTTGTTTTGCTGTGAGGCTACCTGCTACCTGCACAGATGCAGTTGGTATGAGCTAGTAGGTCACTATTTCTTCCACACTAAGACGATCTTTCAATCCAGCTTTGTTCTTATCAGGGTTAAACCGCTGAGTGGGTTGTCAATTGTTTACTCACTTTTTCCTTTTTTTTATACTTTTTTTTAAAAATTAATATTACTCCTGGTGCAGTTCCTCACCTGTTTTTTTTTATTTTTTATTAATTTACAAGATTGCAAAAGGCAACACAATCATTATAATACTCAGTTCAGACAATATATTTTTAATACAGATGTAAATATAATTCTGATGATGTCACATCCTGTTCCTCGCTGCGAATCATTCTGGTGATGGCTTCTGGTATCCAGTACTCTTTTTTTACAATTCTTGTTTAGTTTTTCTTGTTTTTTCTGGTTTTCTATTCTATGTCTGGTTTTCTTTATGCTGGGTTTTTATGGGTTCATTCCTGTGATCCGTCCCTGGAATTCCCAGCCAGGTTTCCTTTAAATGTTTGTTTTATTTGCCACACCCGTTTGTTTTCCATCATTCCTTTTGTTTCAGTGTTCCTGCAGGCAGCTGCTCAAGTCTTCTGCCCTTTCTTGCAGGTAAGTATTATGTGTGTTTTTCTTTGGTTGGTTTAGCTTACATTAGGCAGAGTAGGACCTGCCAGATATGGGGTACATTGGCATTGTTGGCAGGCTTATGCAATGTATGATCATATAATGTAACTAAATCCCCATGATTTTCATATATAGTGCTTAGTTATTTATCCTCTTGTTTTGCCTATCTTATCTTGTCTTGTTTTAGTTTGTATACCCAGTTGTTATAGTCGTGACTTAAATATGAATATTAATTTAATAATTAATATATAATAATTAAGCAACAAATAACAACATTAATAGAGTTCGGTATTATGGTCGAATATATAATAGGAAATACACAAAACATTGTAGTATTAAATGTATATTTAATATAATTATAATAACAATTAAACAAATGCTAGCAGAATGTCAATTTACCACAATAATAACACAATACAAAACTACAACATATTACTTACAAAAGGCTATAACAGTTGCTAGCTGTTATAATAGATTACTTACACGGCTCCAGCCTGTTTGGCTGGAGCTATACACACAGCTACATGTTCAATCAATGCAAGCAAAGGAAAAAAGGAGGCTCAAAATCCTTCTACTATTTGGTTTTATCCAGTAAGTAGGCTGGCCTGTGATGTCACTGCCAGAAGCACATGAGTTAGCACACTGACCCCTAGTGGTGCCTCTAAAGCATTAAGCTCATTATGCTTTTTTATGACAAAAAGTCATTAATTAATAAATACCATTATACCAGTCCATGTACAGTCCTGTACACTCATGCCCATGTTATGTTCATGTTTCCCTCGTGTCTTGTGTACATGTTCTGGGTTTAGCTTCCTATCCTTCTCCGGTTCTGGATTCTACTAGTTTTGTCTTGTTTTCATGTTTGGTTCCTTTTCTAGCCTTGTCTTGTTTCTGGGAGGTCTGCTTTATTCCTGTTCCTAGTTCCTGGGATCCGCTGAAGCTGAATCAGGGTTCTGGTATGTGGCAGCACAAACGCTGGTGCTCAACACCAGAGGGCGTATGGTTACACTGCACCAGGCCCTGATAAATCCACTTGCATGCTTAAGACTCCCATCTCATCATCAGGAACTCAGGGGTCCCGGTTTCCGTGCCGCCACCCGTGACAGATCACACACAATTGGCATCGCAAAAATGTCTCATATTGTGTATCCATTAGGCTAGGCAATATTTTAGCTGTTTTTGCACTGCGATATACTATAAAAGGCACATTTTCTTGCCATTTAGGGTAGTCTGCACCAATTTTTTTCCCGAAATGACTGCATTGACAAAAATTTGTCCGAATCAAAATGCCACATAGATGAAACATGGTTCATCCAAACCTATTTTTTTTTCCAGATCAATCTGTTCAGACAAATCAAATATTTTTGTTATGCACACGTCAAGTGACAGCTATTTTAACAAACAGTACCTAGTAAGTAAGGTTTGTAATACTGGAAATGAGCTTTAAGAATTTTGTTTGAATTATTTTTATTTTGACATTAGTTCTGTTTTGCATTGCTTAGCTCATTGCAAAACCTTTATTATGAGGAGTGGTGTACTACTGTTTTACACTGAATTTGATGTCCTGTCGTGTGTAACCCACCTACAAGTGAATTAAAAGTAGATATTAAATATTAAATAATAGCACTTGTTTTAGTATGTATTTCCTTTTTTATTTAATTGGTTAGCCTTTAAAAAAAAAAAAAAAAGGCTTACATATGTTTAGATTTGTTTTTTGCAATTTTCTTAAAATTTCTTGATTCTTTATCCTTAAGTTCATCATATAATACTCTATTCACTGAAAAGAACCTTAGGAGTTAATCACATTACATATTCAGTTTCCTATGTTAATTTATTTAACAAATATGGTATTCATTTTTTTAAACTAATGCTACAGTGAACAATGTTTACAAACTAGATTACATGCCGCCCCATGCTTTTCTAAAAATTATTATGATAAAGACAATATCCAAATGGTACATTTCACAGCTTTAATACAGATATTCATACTTTCAATTATAGTGAAAGCATATTCTACCTGCAAAATGTCAATAATAAACTAGCCATACGCATGAAATAAATATTTCTACACATTTTCCATTGTAATACAGAGATGAAAAATAATCTATGTGATCAAACTAATCCAAAAATAAAATAAAGTAGAATCTAAATAGCAATGATACTATATCTTAGAAGAATTTCAATCTGTCCAGCCTACCAGCAGCCCACATAGCATGGTGTCATGACAGAGTCTAAAGTACATCAGTAAATACTATTAATAGAATTGTAAAATAGTTAGGTATGAACCGATATATAGGCCTCATATATTAAGCTTTTAAACAATTTAATATTGTTAGAAATACTTTCCAAATTTTATGACATGACAGGAGGCTTTCTATTTTGCATTAACTCTCTTTACGAACTCCACAGCATCAAAGAAAAAAGTATAACAAGAACCATTTAAAATGCAGTAGGAGGTATAGTATCCACAGTGAATAGGCTCCTCCTTCTCTTTCTTTGCTGCTCCATCAGCAGACAGGTCATAGTTTTTGGCTCTACTCTGCGTTTTGATTACATTTAATCCTTATCCATATCTTCTATTTTAAGTTTCCTATTTGCTCTTACAAATCTGTCTATCACTTTATTTACTACTACTTGCTTTTTCTCTAGCTTTATTGGTATTGGTGTATTTGCTGCTATTGCACCCCTTCTTGCGCCACCCCGAACCCGGCGGTGGGACCTCTTACCACCAGGGGGGATAGCTCCTATCTGGAACTGCTCCCTCACAGCTTCCCAACTGCATGCATCCACATGCCTGGCGACGGCCGGATCGATCCGTCACGTCGCGAAATCCGCGGCCTCCATTTTCGGAGTTTCGAGTGCCATTTTTCCCCCTTACTACTGCAGGTATTACCTCTGGATCATCGATCAACCGGGCAGGGGTCTCCACAGGTCAGTCACAACTTGCTGCTGTGGTATGTACTATAGGGGTCAACACCCTGTGCATTCTGGGGTGAGGCCCCTTATTCTGTGCTGCTGATCAGAACTCTGCTTTAGCATACTCTGTATACCTGGGTGAGGCCCAGATAAAATCCTAATCAGACCAACTACACCTTGCTGGGGTTTTATATTAATATATAGTACTGCTGCTACAAAATAAAAATTGCCCTAAATTGGTGGAGAGGGGATTCAGAGGGGCTCAAGACAAATTATTGGATGCCACCGGACCCCTCTCTCGCATCATGTACCTGGCGGATGACGCCTTCCAGAGTGCTGATCAATTCGATGCCAACACGGTCAGGGAATGGGTGCATGATATATGAGAATGGTTTTAAGAGGTTTCTGCTTTCTGGGAAATGCAAACGTTGCCCTCTCGTCTGAGAGGCGTAAAGCAGCACTACTCCGCATAAACGGAAAGTTAGTGGAATTGGGCACCAAGGAGCTTGGATCTCTGGCACAGGGCAAACTATTTGGGGAAGCTTTCCTCAAGGAATTAAACAGACAAGTTAACATCTTCACCTCGTTGAGCAAAGCACAACCCCGGAAGAGGGGTTTTTGGAAGGGCTTGCTGCCAAAGGAGCTGTGCTGTCAGCTGATTAGGGCCTTCAGGCCCCCATTCATCAAGACCCCAACCTTTCTACCAGGAGGTGGGATACAGACAACCATTCTCCTACTCCAGAGGATCGGATAGAGGTCACGGCCCACGCATATGTGGCAGGGCACGTTTCGCGACAGGTAAGTTACCGTTCTCCTCCAGTTCCTGATGTTCATGGTGAAAAAGAAAACTGGGGACTTCCGACCCATTATAAACCTCTGGAAACTCAACGCCCATGTGGTGTATCATCACTTCAAGATAGAGGGCATTCACCTCTTACGAGAACTCCTTCAAGACGGTGATTGGTTCACGAGGTTAGATCTCACAGACGTTTACATTTCAGTACCTGTCCTCTCCACCTGCAGGCGTTTCCTTCGATTCACGTGGAACAACCAACCGTGGCAATTCACATGCCTCCCTTTCAGCCTCAGCTCGGTCCCATGGTGCTTCACCAAGCTGCTGAAGGCAGTGGTTACTCATCTTCGAGCAAGAGGAATTCGCTGCATTATATACCTGGACAACCAACTTCTATTCTGCTCCGACACATCCAGACTAGCACGACACACACGATTTACCATGGACCTTCTAGAATCACTAGGCTTCATGGTAAACCACCTGAAGTTGTCTACAACCCCATCCCAAGCTGTACAATTTCTAGTCTTCGAGATTGACTCCAAATCCAGCACACTTTGCCTGCCGACGTCAAAGATCTCAGCTATAAATCATTGGGCAAAAGGGCAGAGATTTCAAAGGCTCAGACAGGCAATAAAACAAGTTATAATGATCCAAAACCATTACTACCATTTAGTTATGGCATTATAAGAGGTCAAAACGATAGTCTATGTTGAACTGCAAGCAATGAAAAGTAAAATCTGGAATAGAGATTCCCAGGAGTATACACACTGTAAAACACAGCATGAGTAAGTAAAAGGCAAAAATGACATAACAAGTTCACAGATTTCAGAGGTTACATAAAATAAAGTGATTGCAAATGTATATTTAAAGCAAAGATACAACCTGCATATCAAAGCACCAAAACTATAGGAAGAAACGCCCGATGTGTGCTAACATTCTCCATGTCAAGTTCACTTTTATATGTTGTATATTTGCTTTAAAGAACAGAGAAATTAAAATAAATACAGTTTATGTTGGAAGAGTTGACCTTGTACAATTACACTCCTCTGGGTAAACAAGTTGCAGTAGAGTGTAATATTAAGGGATAGGATTTTTGAACATCTAAAATCACATGGATTTCAAGATCAGAGAAAACATTTTACTTTGGGGAGATCATGCCAAACTAATCTTATTGATTTTTTTGATTGGGTAACTAAAATAATAGATCAGGGTGGTGCAGTAGACATTGCTTACCTAGATTTCAGTAAGGTTTTTGACACTGTTTGACACATAGAATGCTCATCAATAAAATGCAATCTTTAAGTTTGGATTCCAATATTATTGAATAGGTAAGGCTGTGACTGAGTGACAGGCAACAGAGGGTTGTAGTCAATGAAGTATATTCAAAGCATGGGCTTGTAACCCATGGGGTACCTCAGGATCTGTACTTGGACCCATTCTCTTTAATATTTTTATTAGTGATATTGCAGAAAGTCTTGATGGTAAGGTATGTCTTTTTGCTGGTGATACTAAGATATGTAACAGAGTTGATGTTCCAGGAGGGATAAGCCAAATGGCAAATGATTTAGGTAAACTAGAAAAATTGTCAGAGTTGTGGCAACTGACATTTAATGTGGATAAGTACAAGATAATGCATCTTGGACATAAAAACCCAAGGGCAGAGTACAGAATATTTGATAGAGTCCTAACCTCAACATCTGAGGAAAGGGATTTAGGGGTGATTATTTCTGATGACTTAAAGGTAGACAGACAATGAAGTAGAGCAGCAGGAAATGCTAGCAGAATGCTTGGTTGTATAGGGAGAGGTGTTAGCAGTAGAAAGAGGAAAGTGCTCATGCTATTATACAGAACACTGGTGAGACCTCACTTGGAGTATTGTACGCAGTACTGGAGACCGTATCTCCAGAAGGATATTGATACTTTAGAGAGAGTTCAGAGAAGGGCTACTAAACTGGTTCAGGGATTGCAGGATTAAACTTACAATAAAAGGTTAAAGGATCTTAACATGTATAGCTTGGAAGAAAGACAAGACAGGAGTATATGACAGAAACATTTAAATACATGAAGGGAATCAACACAGTAATGGAGGAGACTATATTTAAAAGAAGAAAAATTACCACAACAAGAGGGCATAGTCTTAAATTAGAGGGGCAAAGGTTTAAAAATAATATCCAGAAGTATTACTTTACTGAGAAGGTAGTGGATGCGTGGAATAGCCTTCCAGCTGAAGTGGTAGAGGTTAACACATTAAAGGAGTTTAAGCATGCATGGGATAGGCATAAGGCTATCCTAATTATAGGGTAAGGCCAGGGACTAATTAAAGTATTTAGAAAATTGGGCAGACTAGATGGGCCGAATGGTTCTTATCTGCCATCACATTCTATGTTTCTATACGGAAGGAACGTATATCATCTGCTGCCAATCAGTTCCACTCCACGGACTCGCTCGGATAGTGGGCCTCCTGTCCGCATTGACCCAGGCCATCTTTCCAGGACCACTCCACTACAGGGCGATGCAACTCCTAAATGCCTCATTCCTCCATCAAAACCCTTCCTACAACCAACCAGAAGAAGTCAGGGAGGAACTAAGATGGTGGCTGGACAGCATGCAGGCGTGAAATGGTTGGGTCATTTTCAGAGACATGCTGGACTTCATACTGGAATCGGACACCAACCTCTGGGGCTTGGGACCGACTAATGAAGGCATATCGACAGGAGGCACCTGGACTTCACAGGAACTCATCTTACATATCAACTGCCTAGAACTCCTTGCGGGATCCTTTGCCATACACAGCCTTTTATTATTACATCCTATTCAGGATGGACAACGTCTCTGCAGTCCGCTATATCAACCGTCAGGGCAGAGCCGGCTCACGACTCCTGTCAGAACTAACAAAAGATATTTTAAACTTCTGCCTTACCTGCAACATCTCACTAAAGGCGGAATACCTGCCAGGAGAGACGAATCTCATGGCTGACTGATTCTCCCGCCATTGGTGAGATGGCAAGCTATAGGATGCTGGACCCCAAGATCTTCGACACCCTCTCACACCTGAGAGGCCTGTTTCATCAGGATCTGTTTGCATCATGCAACAAAAGAATGACTCTAGACTTCTTCAGCTGACTCCCAGACCTGGAGTGCAAAGCAGTGGATGCCTTCCTACAAATGTGGCCGCTCACCGGCGCGTATGCATTTCCCCCATACGCTATGTTAGCAAGGACTCTCCATTATCTGAAGGTCCACCAAAAAGCTCTACTTCTAACCACTCCCCTATTGCAGAGCCAACCATGGTTCCTGAATCTCCTGGCATTGTCCTACGCAGACCCACTCCTACGACTGTCCTACCCAACACTTCTCACTGACCCAAAAGGGAACCCTCATCCACTGTTACGTGACACTTGTCTGCCTCTGGTGGCTTGGATTCTTTTTGGGCACCTGGCAGATCGATGAACTATCGCAGATTGCTAGGGACTAGTGATGTCGCGAACCCGAAATTTTCGGTTCGCGAACGGCGAACGCGAACGTCCGCAAATGTTCGCGAACTGGCGAACCGCCCGAAACGCCATTGACTTCAATGGGGAGGCGAATTTTAAAACACACAGGGACTCTTTCTGGCCACAATAGGGATGGAAAAGTTGTTTCAAGGGGACTAACACCTGGACTGTGGCATGCCGGAGGGGGATCCATGGCAAAACTTCCATGGAAAATTACACAGTTGATACAGAGTCTGGTTTTAATCCATAAAGGGCAGAAATCACCTAACATTCCTAAATCACAATGAATATGGATTGACACCTGACATATGACATATTGACACCTTGACATATGGATTGACACCTGTCCTCAGAGCCCCTGATGCACACGGACACAGAGCAGAATAGAGACTGGCCCCCCTACATCGGGTCACTTGGCAGATATGGATTGACACCTCTCCTAAGGTTCCCTGATACACACTGACACAGAGCAGAATAGGGACTGGTCCCCCTACATCGGGTCACTTGGCAGATATGGATTGACACCTTGTTACAAACTGCTATTTGTAACGGGCCTTTTAAATGGCAAATTGCCCTGCTTCCCTGGGTTGTGGAGAAGCCTACTTGCCAGCCTCCTCCCGCATGACTACGGCCCCTGGGAGATTGTGAAAATGTATGCACTTTTATTTGGTGTGTATGGCCCTTTAAGACTGTCGGTGGGCATATTGGGGCTTATGGACTCTTTATGTGACTGGTGCTGGCCCTTTAAACA